TTATGTATAATACAGTGATGTACGTACTTTCAGTGTTGTGCCTGAAAGTATGTCATCAGTGCATCATCAACCTACCGGTAAAACAACCATGACATTTCTATCGGTATGGTTTGTCCTCCACCGGAATGCTGAGGATGTTAATTGATGCATGGTATAAAACCTAAATGATCCTCATGAATGACTTTTCTTTTTGAGTTATTAGGGTTTAACTTATATTTATATAACTATCAGATGAATGACCTAAGTGATCCTCATGAATAGCTTGTCCTTCTGAATTACTTAGATCGTTTAACTAGTATAAAGGATAATATTGTTAGTCTAACAACCATTGTATTCCTATCGGTATAGTTTATCCTCCACTGGAACGTTGAGGATGTTTAACTGGTATATATATATATATATATCACAAATATAGTCAAATGAATAATTCAAGTATTCCTCATGAATGTCTTGTCCTTCTGGTTTGCTTGGATAATTCAATTGACATATCTATAACCAATTAACCTAAGAAGTTGTTATGTTATGACTATTAGCACCAGTTGACCTAAGAAGTGGCTGTGTTATGGTTTATTATGTATGCACCTACTATTGTAAAGACAAATGAATAATTCAAGTATTCCTCATGAATGGCTTGTCCTTCTGGTTTGCTTGGATTAATCAATTGTCATGAATACAACCAGCTAACCTAAGAAGTTGTTGTGTGATGGTTTATATACATCAGACCTACCAGTTAACTTGCCAGTTACATGGAAGTTGATTGTTGTAAGGTAGCATTTCCAGTATTTAACCAATATAACGCATATGAGATCCTTGAACTGAAGGATACTTTTTATTATTGTCTTACTCTATCTGCACATAACTGTTTATTTAGACTAGTTATCAATCTAAGCTCATATCACAAGCTATCACATGTTGTCCTATTCAAATTAGCAACTTAACTATTTTATTTCGTTTCCAAATTATTAAAACTCTTTGTGGGATCGATACTCGGACTTAAAATCGAGAAAATTACAATTCGACCACTTATACTTGGGTGTATAATATTCATCTGATCACTAAAAAGTGCGAATCACATACCATATGCCCCATTTGGTCACCAAGATTTGTCTTAAGAGCAAGATCAAAGCCTACCCCACTAACATGTGCGTCCCCACATGAGTATGGCCTAATAGGCAAATAAAATAGCAAGAAAAGGAAGGCTATGACTTGGGGTCCCGAGAACAGTGAGGAGAGGGTTGAGCCATCAACGACTGAGGCCATCTATGTTCGCATCCACCCCATCAATGATTGTTCCCCAACAGTTGGCTGGGATTGAGGGGAGATTGGATAAGTTTGGGGGAACTCTACAATGGCTGGTTTTGATGATGAAAAAAGTTTATGAGCAGGTGTTCCCATGAGAGCCTCTCCCTGAAATGCCACCACTACTAGCTACAGCATCAGATATTCCACCACCGGCTCCTGAGACTAACACTTTTGTCTAGCCTTCTGCTCCATCCCTTTCGAATGTTCTTGAGGTTGTAGAGTCTAGAGATGATGAGTAGGATGATGACAATGATGATGAGGAAGATGAGGATAATGACGATGATGATGGGGAGGAGTAGAGGAGTGAGAGACCAAATTTTAGTCCTTTTTTTTGTATAGTGGTTTTTGGGAGTCCTAGAATACATCAAGTTAGAATAGGAGTGACAGGTCTAGTAGAAGTCTCTCTAGGAAAATAGGCAAATTTTTTTGTTCCTTGTACTTTATGAAAACAATTATGAATGAAAGAACAAGAATTTTGCATTTAACTTTGTCCCAAATTCATTAGCTTAATTGCAATGCGATTTGAGTATTCTAACTTAGTTCTGAAATGACTAACATGGATGGAAGTATCATAATCTCTTTATAATTTTTATCTTTTTGAATAAGATTTACTAGGGACTAGCAAAACTCAAGTTGGGGGTATGATGAGTGTGGAATATTGTACATTTAATAGCCTTATTACATCCATTTTAACTTGTTTTTGTAATGAATTGTTGGAAAATATTTTACATCAAAAATTAATGGAAAATTGTTTGAGTGTAGGTGATTGGATGGTAAATGCAAGTGTTAATCACTTTGCAACGTGATCGGGGACAATGAGTAAGAAAAGAATTCAAGACTAAGGGCTCGAGACCTTGAAATGAAGAAAAGTCAAGGAAGTCAAAGAGGTACCAATACCCTAATCACTAGGTATCGGTACCTGAGCTTACTGGAAAGGAGGTACCGGTACCCCAATCACAAGGTACCGATACCTGAGCTTACTGGAATGGAGATATCGGTACCTAGAGTTGTACCTTGTTCAGCTTTTAGAGAGGGAAGGTCCAAGGAAGAAGAAGGAAGTTCTAGAGAGAGCAAGCTAGGGTTTTTTTATTTTTCTTCACCATTTTCATTCTTGTAAGCTTCAATCCACATGTAAACCTTCTTTCTAGCACATGTAAACCTTCTTTCTAGCACATTAATCTCATTTATTTCAAGTTGTGCTTTAGCTTAGCTAGGGTTTAGTAGTCCTATTGCTTGTATTTGGGTTTTTTCTCTTTAAGCTTTATATTTTAGGTTTGAATGCTATTTCTTTTTTAGTTTGAACTTCTTCTTACATTAATGCAAGTTCATGTTTGATTTCATTACCATGTTTTGCTCTTTCATGTTTGTTCTTGCTTTTATTATGAGTAGCTAAACTTTTAGTTGGCTAATCCAAGGGGGATTTCCTCTTAGGTATATGGAATCAATTCTTTTTCATTCTTCCATATAATATAAAGTGTTTGGTTTGACTAGGTTGAGAGCGGATGAATGTGGTTGTAGGCATTTGATACACTGTAGACTTGTCACGAGCTATGCTCTTGTCTAAGCAATTACATTCATCTCTCGCTTCCTACGAATTAATCAAACACCTAGGTACTATTAGTAAAATGGAATGAATTGATTTGACATACCCATTGAAATGAACTCTATGAATTAGTCAACCCTTTTTCTACTTGCAAATTTCTCAAAACACAAACCACCAAACTTTAAATCACAATATTTTTCATTTTTCCTTTCATAATTCACTTTTGGAAAACACTTGACCTTTCCTTCCCTAAGGAGATGACCTCGGAACTTTTTCCAAGTTAAAGCAAAACATTAAAAGTCCCTCTATGCTTGGGGAGCATTTTTGCATATTTACACACATTTTTTTTCATCCACACACAATTTTCCTACATCTTGCACAAGCTTGAGTGAGAGTGACACTCACCCTTCGTTATAAGCCATACATATAATAGTGTTCATGTGGGACGCAAGGGAAACAATCAAGCACCCACAATCCACCACCATCATAATTGTGCTATCACCATCACCATTGTCATTGTGTCACCGCTATCATTACTGTCGTCACCACCATCATTGTGCCGTCACCACCACTACTAGGGGTGTCCATGGGTCTGGTTGGGCTAGGCCCACGAATTTTTTTTGGGCTGGGCCGGAGTAGGGTAGCCCCAAGCCCTTACCTGGATGAGTTGTCGGGTGGGTCAAGTTAGGATTTGGGTAGGGGTAGGCTAGCAGCAGCCCAACCCACGAGTGGACTTTCTGGGCGGGCTTTTTTTTATATACAACTTCATTTAAAAATAATGAATATTTTTGTAATTTAATATTTTAATAAATTATATATTTGAATTCAAAGTAGAATCAAAATGGACAAAAAGTAAATAATGATGGTGGTGGTAGAAATAAGGTAGTTGTGGTGAGATAGTCAAAACGAAGGAAAAAAATTAGAATAATAATAATTTTTAGACTTCAACTCATTATATTTGTCAAAGAGTTTGATTAAATTCAATATTTAAATTTCAGTGGATACCAAACAGTTTACGAATTAAAAAATTCAGCATGCAACACTGAAAATTCAAAATTCAGTTTTCAGTATTCAACTTTCAGTTTTATCAAATACCACATTAGTTAGTAAAAATTTTATAAATTCTTTATAATTGACAAATATACCTTTAATATATTTTACACTCTTATTTTTTCAATACCCACATCTACTACCACCACCATTGTGTCGCCACCACTACCACGATCGTCGGCATTGTGCCGCCGTCGCCACCACCATCACCATCATTGTGCTGCCACTACTACCACCATTGTGCCGCCACTACTACCACCATTATTGTGCCATCACCATTGTGTCGCCACCACCACCACCATTGTGATGGTGGTAGGAATAAGATAGTTGCGGTGAGATAGTTTAAAAAAAAGATAAAATTAGAATAATAATAATTTTTAAATTTTATTTCCTTATATTTGTCAAATAGTTTGATTCAATTCAATATTTAAATTTAAGTGGATATTAAACAATGTGTGAATTAAAAAATTCAGCTTTTAATTTTATCAAATATCACCTAAGGTACGCACTTGATCTTTTCGTGCAATTTACTTATTTGGTCTCAGACTTTTATTGACTTAAGCATTGAAGTGATTTCGGTCAATCAACCCCTAATCCCTGACAATTTATTCATCTTGCGGGGAAGGTGTACCCAAATTTATTCCATGCCGGCTAGAATTCCGTTGCTTCCATTTCATCAAAGGTGCAAGATTTTTTTCTCGTACAAGCAAAAAATGATCTCATTTCACAGGAATCATGTCAATGCTTAATAAAAAATTACAATACTCCGGTAATATTATTCGTGTTAAGATATTGTATCATTTTTAAGTTGACGTGGGTAACAAAAAATTTTCATCCAGCTTGGGCCTGGCAGGTAGGGCACCATTAGCCTACGACTTGGCAAAGCCCAATCGTGGCAACAACCAGCTGGAATTTTATCAATTTCAAGACCATGTATTTCTACATGCATAAAATGTGGGTTGTCGCATAGCTGACCAGGAAGTTATCGAGAACTAAACAATTCAGTAGCCGCCACCCATTATATCCAACCTTTCCACTTCCCCCTTTTTCAATTTTTTTTTACAGAAATACAAAATCGAATACATAAGAATTCTGACAGAGAAAAATGGAGATAGCAATCTCATCTGCAATTATCTCACTACCTACCACTAAAATTCCAAGACCTAGTTCTACATCACTCTCTTTCTCTTCGTCCCACTCATCGTTCTTCAACGCTGCTTGCTTGACCAGAAACAGTACCATTTGCAATCAGGTTCTGGGTCGACCCAGAACCAGAACCAACAGGGGTCTTTCTCCTAAATGCTTGTTTGGGCTTGGAGTGCCGGAGCTGGTGGTCATAGCCGGCGTCGCCGCACTCGTTTTTGGCCCCAAGAAGTTGCCTGAAGTTGGGCGCAGTATCGGCAAAACTGTCAAGAGCTTCCAACAGGTCAGCTTTTCTGTTCAAGTTTATAACTGGGTTCGTTGTTTCTTGGGTTTTGAATTTGTGGGTTTGGCTTATTTTGGTTACATTTACCTTACCTTTAATTTTTTATGTATTGTAGGGTGGTTGTGTAATTATTAAGGTCTGTTTGGGTGCGAAATTTATGAAAATGGGTTTGAAGCTGTGTGTTTGGTTGTGAGTTAATGAAAGGAAAAAGTAGGGAAAGTAATTATAAATAACAAAAGCAAAACGTGCAAGAAATTGTGAGTGGGGAACTGGAAATGCTTCCAAACATGCATTATTTAATGTGGAATTAGTCATGGACATTCGTATCCTCATGAAATTGCATTTGGAATATTGTTTGTAAGTAAGGATATATTTTTTTTCCTAATTGCAGTCTGAGGCATATCAGGCAAGAGGATAGAATTGCGTGAGACTGCTATCTTTAACGAGAACAAAAAAACGGTTTGTCCTACAGGAAGGGGAAGTTCCCAAGCACCCCTTTTAAGTGATTCATCTATTTTTTGGATATGGTTTGAAATAGACCCATTCGATTACATGAGAGGGTAGAAGATGAAATGCCTCCTTGAAACCCTGAAAATCAAGATGAACTGCATTCAGGCTTGCAACTAGGTGGGTTGAAAAGTCAACACAAACTCTACCCGAGTCCTTGACTTAAGCCCAACCCAATTAGACCTTCAACCCGAATACTGTTCGTGATTAGATTTTTGAACTTGGATTGGAGCCGAGTAGACCAACCAAGGTGAAATTCAGGCTAAAAAATTCAGGTTTAGTTCAGGTTGTCCAAATTAGTTATCTAGAATGTGCCCCGAGACTAAATCTAACATAACTCGTCATTGAATCAAAAATCTTTGCCTAATTTAGTTGTCATTTATATATGAACAAATTCATATGAAAACTACATTTTGCAGAAGCTATCATGCTATTCTTGACAACTGTGTTTGTTGTCTTTTTCATCTTTGAGTCAAATATCTCTAAACCCAAAATAATGTTGCTTTGATGATTATAGAATATGCCATTTGGATGGGACCTTACTTGTTGCACTTTATTTCTCTTTATCGTGAATGAAAGAGAGAGGAAGGAAGGGTGAGGGGTTTAATAATCAACGAGGGAGAGTGGTGAACAACAAACGGGAGAAAGAGAGGGATCTAAGATGAGAGAGATGGTGCTTGGGGTGAGAGAAATGAGAAGGATTCTAATTAAACCCAAGCTACTTTTCTTAGTCATATCTATCTATACTACTAGTAAAAGTGGCTTAAATAAAAAACTTTTGATTTCCTTATTTAGCCTTCAATAATTCTATAATATCTACTTTATCCTTTTTAAAGTGGCTTAAGAAAAAAATTTTGATTTTTTTATTTATAATTCAAAAATTCTATAATGTCTACTTTATCATTTTTTTAGGAATTTTTTATTTTTTTATTAGTTGCATTAATTCAACTAATAAATTCATTGTTTGACTTTTGATTATCTTCTTTCCAAACAATATAAATTCGATCCAAATCCAATTTGAATATTGTGATTCGAATCAGATTCAATTGTTCAACGAATTTTATTTTTCACAGCGCATATATGAATCCGTTAAAATAGATATCCATTCTGATTCGAATAAATTGATCAGAGACAATTTTAACATATAANTTCGAATCAGATTCAATTGTTCAACGAATTTTATTTTTCACAGCGCATATATGAATCTGTTAAAATAGATATCCATTCTGATTCGAATAAATTGATTAGAGACAATTTTAACATATAGCACATGAATTTCTACTCAATTTTTATTAAATAATCACCAAATTACATCATATTTTTGTATATGTTTGTAGGTACGTAGTGTATAGCCAAATTCACTAAAAACCAAATAATTGAATAGATCTAATAATCTCTATATTACTTTCGAATGTCAATACTTATAAAAAAAACTTAGTTGTATTAATCCAACTAATAAATTTATTGTTCGACTTTTGATTATCTTCTTTCCAAACAATATAAATTTGATCCAAATCAGATTTGAACAATGTGATCTGAATTCGATTCAATTATTCAACGAATTTTATTTTTGACAGTGTATATATGAATTTGTTAAAATAATTATCCGTTCTGATCCGAAATAGATCTGATAATTTACATATTACTTTCGAATATCAATANCCAAACAATATAAATTTGATCCAAATCAGATTTGAACAATGTGATCTGAATTCGATTTAATTATTCAACGAATTTTATTTTTGACAGTGTATATTTGAATTTGTTAAAATAATTATCCGTTCTGATCTGAAATAGATCTGATAATTTACATATTACTTTCGAATATCAATGCTTGTCAAAAAAACTTAATTGATAATACTATCCTTAAAAAGATAAAAAGACAATAATAACTTATTGGAAGAACTTTTTATTATTCCAAGAAATCATTAGTCATCTATCTATTAATCAATCACTTGCTGAAGTTAAACATTATAATTTTTAAATGCAATGCATTTTAGTTTTATTTAAACCTTATGCAATTCAGTTCATACAACTCAAAATATGTGAAAAATCTTGAGCATAATTTATATATTTTTTAATTATTTTAAAGATAGTTATGCTTACATTGAAAGATTTAATACCAAAATACAATGATATTATTGGGAGTTACTGCCAATTGAGGAAGCATGATTGTTGTACAACTCTTGGAGCTTCATAACTCCAACTCATAATAGGTGAGAAGTTGGTTGGCAAAGTTTTGGGTCATATAAAAATACCCAAATATTCTCACTATTCGAACCCTTAAGACTTGCGATTGGGACAGGTCCAATGCTGAAGGTTTGTATTAAATTTGGATTGGTACTCATCTTTGTGAGTAATAAAANCTCCAACTCATAATAGGTGAGAAGTTGGTTGGCAAAGTTTTGGGTCATATAAAAATGCCCAAATATTCTCACTATTCGAACCCTTAAGACTTGCGATTGGGACAGGTCCCATGCTGAAGGTTTGTATTAAATTTGGATTGGTACTCATCTTTGTGAGTAATAAAAGTCTTGATTATAAAAAGTTTAGTAAGCATGCATTTGTAATGGTATCTTCAAGGTATGATTGGTCATTACAAGTTTTGGATTGTATATCTTGCAACTCTGAGCCAATTTAGCTCTCCCTCTTTGATCTCGCTCACCTACATACACAAACATTTTGTTGAGGTGTAGATCAGTGACACATTTTCGGATAAAGGTATATACATTAAGTGAAAGTAGGATTACTACTAAAAGTGCTGATGAAACTCTTCGAACATTGGACATCTATGTAGTCCAGTAGTGGCAAAATATTGCACCCTCATGGATGTTGTACTTAACCTGAGATGGTCTTTAAAAGAGGTTGCTTTTTGAGAGTTTTTTGCTTTTCGAGACACTTTTTACTAAATATTTTATAGATTTTATTAGGAAAACATTTGATACCTGATGGCAACCTATCAATTGAATCTCTCTCTCAAAGGATAAAATTTTTCAGTAGCATAATAGTCGATTTTAGAGCTTGAGGCTACTTTTATGGCTGAATCACTCATTGCGTTGACATGTGCTNATAGATTTTATTAGGAAAACATTTGATACCTGATGGCAACCTATCAATTGAATCTCTTTCTCTCAAAGGATAAAATTTTTCAGTAGCATATTAGTCGATTTTAGAGCTTGAGGCTACTTTTATGGATGAATCACTCATTGCATTGACATGTGCCNACATTTGATACCTGATGGCAACCTATCAATTGAATCTCTCTCTCAAAGGATAAAATTTTTCAGTAGCATAATAGTCGATTTTAGAGCTTGAGGCTACTTTTATGGCTGAATCACTCATTGCGTTGACATGTGCTGGCTATTATTGATGGATATAGGTTTTTTGAGACTTTTCAAAGAAGAATAAATTATTCATCTACTTTTGAATATAAAGTATGTATGTTCATGTTAATGGAAAATGGAAGTCACACTGCAAGAAAAGAATTTTCAGAATGACCTTGAAAAGTTAATAAATGTCAGATAGAAAAGGATAGGTCTCAACGTTTTCAATAAAACGCCTGAAATTCCCAGCGNTATAAAGTATGTATGTTCATGTTAATGGAAAATGGAAGTCACACTGCAAGAAAAGAATTTTCAGAATGACCTTGAAAAGTTAATAAATGTCAGATAGAAAAGGATAGGTCTCAACGTTTTCAATAAAACGCCTAAAATTCCCGGCATTTTTTTCAATACTGAAACCAAACGCCTTTAAAGACCCTTTTCCTTGTAGTGTCAGGGGTAATAAACCATTCTAGTTACACTTTTCTATGAGTAGTATAATTGAAACTTTTAATAAAATCATTTGGTACGTATTCAATGACAACAACTTGAATAATAAAAAAATTGGAGCCTATTAGAGGGTCCTATGGTGGATGTTGAGAATAAACATANTATGAGTAGTATAATTGAAACTTTTAATAAAATCATTTGGTACGTATTCAATGACAAATACAACTTGAATAATAAAAAAATTGGAGCCTAGTAGAGGGTCCTATGGTGGATGTTGAGAATAAACATAAATTGATTGATTAATTAAATGCTTAGATATTCTCATCCCATTTCGATTCAAGGATTTTCTATTGGACTCTTTTTGAACTCTAACTCACTAAGCTCAGGATCTTCTTGGTTGAAAATTGTGACATTCTTATTTTTCTCTTGCTTTGACCAATCAGTAACANCTTAGATATTCTCATCCCATTTCGATTCAAGGATTTTCTATTGGACTCTTTTTGAACCCTAACTCACTAAGCTCAGGATCTTCTTGGTTGAAAATTGTGACATGCTTATTTTTCTCTTGCTTTGACCAATCAGTAACAAGGATTAGTTGTAGAAAGCTTGTAACGATGGTCTAATGGAGAACATTATTTACGCGAAACTGTAATGATAGTAAGCCTCACTGTGAAATGATGGGGGTAAAGTTATGTAATTGACAGTTGAAAGGATGGTAAATGATTTTTGATTTATTCACAAAAAATATATCAAAATAGTATGCGTGCAACGTACGTGTGCACCAACTAGTACCTATATATTTTTATTCTTTTGTCTTAAATTTTGGGTTGAGCCTAGAGGTGTAACTTGGGGGGACTAACTTGAACCTAACTCGAAAATTTCGGTACTTGGGTTAAAGTTTTAAATAGTTTTTCTTTTTTTGGATAGGAAACGAATCAATTTTATTAAAATTAAATGAAAAGCATTAAAAAAATGTTGGAAATTATTAATACTTGTGTTGGGCTTGGCCTTGGACAAAAAAATTCCTATCTGAATTAAGCTCGTGTAGTACTCAAATTGGGGCCTTGGGGTGATGGGTTCAACATAAACCAAACTCGAATTTATGAAATCAGGCTCAACCTGAAAATAATAAGATGAGGAA